CGGGGAAAGAGGGGCGAGGAAGAGGGAGCCAGCACAGCCTGTTTTCCCTCTGCACCGCCAAGGAATTTCTTTTGTGCGGAGCAGGGTTTGGTGCATTCCAGCGCGGAGCAGCTCCTGCATCGCTGCACCAAGTCTGCTGGGGCAGAAGTGTCCTGGCGAAATCAGCACGCCCCAGGGCATGGGTAGCTCCTGGGGGAAGGCATTGAATCTAGCACGGCGGTCACAAGGATTTAAGGGGCTGTGCTGTGCTCAGAGGAGTCTGGCAGAAAACCGTGCATATGCAGAGCAACACTGGGCACGTTCACAGCAACAGATACATCCAGCCCTGAGCACCACACAGGCTTTTATCTGAACATCCCAGCAGATCCTTCCTTGGAGCTGGGCAAACTGGGGCTTCTGGAGTCCAGAAAACAGCTTATTCTTAAAAAAAGCATATGGAAAGCCATAACCCTGGCATTTTTCATGTGGACCAACTTGGAAAACTCCATGATGTTTGACTTCTGGTAACTCTACTATGGCATAATGCATTTTGGTGTTCAAACTCAAGCCGGCCACTGCATGTCTTAGGAGAGCATTACCTGTAGGAGCATGCGATCTGAGGACATGGATGTACCGTGCTCACATATTCATGTTCCCCAGGGGTTGAAAAAAAAAGCAGGCCCATGTTTCTGAAAGGCCGCGAGAGGAGGGACCTCTGCAGGCTGAGACCACCCTGGAGCCAGCGGCATCCAGCATGGCGCAGCACAGTGGGAGCCTCTGCGTGGGAAGGTGAACCCACGGCTCTCCTGCAAATCCTCCTCCCTTGGATAAACTTCGAACCAGCTCTGTGACTCCGAGCAAACTTCAGACAGAGACACAGCAGCCCACTGGGAAAAGGCAGGGTAAAAAGCAAATAAAATAGAAGAGCTCCACCACCCTTCCAGAGCTGTCACCATGCTCCAGCGGGTCCGGACTGTGGACACCGAGCAACCCCTCTGTGTGCCAGCCCTGTGCGGGCACAGCGAACACGCAGCCGGACACAGCATTACACGTGTCCATGCAGGGTCAGAGGAATTCACAAACCCACGCTCTGGGGGGGGTGGAAGTAATTAATGCAAATTCCTCGTTAGGTAAACACATCTCGAGAAAGCTCGCTCTGGCACCAGGAACTAATATCCTGTTAAACCAGTTGAAAAGGTCACCAGCAATCAAGCAACACTCCCTCATGCCAGTGTTGACAGGACACCAAGACAGACAGCTTGGAGCAGGGAGCTGGGAAGTCTGTGCAGCGTCCACATGCCAGCGTGCAAACTGCAGCCAGCTTGGCGTGTGCACGGACGTGCTCTCGCCAGCTACACTCTCTCCACAACACTTTTGCACTAATATGAACAGCCCTGGGCTTTGGGAAAGCTGCTTCACTGCCTTCACACAGCCCTGGGAAGGGCTGGGGGAGCACACAAAAGCAGCCAGGGGTGTTGGGCTCCTGTCAGGTTTGCAAAGGCAACCACAGCCTTGCTAGGGACCACTGCCTCCAGCGTGGGGCTAACCATGGGCTGGGGATCATTTTGAGAGCGGGTTGTGTAAATGAAGAGGCAAGAAAGGAGATGCATGCTGGTCCCTTCAGCACAGGGGCCTATGCCCCAGGGAGCCCTCCCTTGCCACGTGTCTCTGCTGCCAATGGCACAGACATCCCAGCGCAAGCCCTGCACAAGGACATGCTAGGGCTCAAGACGTCCAGGTGATGCTTCAACAGCAAGAAGAAGGAAAGGAGAGAGTAAAATAGCTGAGGACACACTGCTCATCCCATGATTGTATTTCATTTTCAATGGCTAACCTGATGCACAGAGGAGCTGCTGGCAACTTGGGGCTCTGCAGGCAGAGCTCCTGGGGTGCCTTCCCTTTCTTCCCAGCAGAGAAACTCAGATTCTCTCCTGAGAGACTGAGGAAGAAACCACCAGGGCTTTGTGCACTTCCCCAAGGCTCACAGTGAGTGGAACTTCAGGAGAGGAGCTGAACAGGGAGCTCCTGCCCCTCTCGGCACACTGTAGCTTCTCCAGAATTAGTGCCCTAAGTGAACCCGCACAGACAGGATCTGGTCTGCTCTGGCAGGGAATAGAGATGAGCATCTTCAGAGTCCAAAACTACTGAATTTTGTTTTTCTAAAAAAAAAAAAAATTACTTTGCAAAAAAGTACATTTTCAAATGACCTTGTTCAGTGAGATAGCCATGCGTCTTGCACAGAGAAGCTGTGTAGTCTGGCGAGACTCCAGCTGTGTTTGTCTAAATCCACATGGAGAACTCTATGTTGCACTCAAACTGGCATTTTCTGGTGCCCAGCCCCAAGACGAGCCTTGCTGTCAAGTCTGTTTCTTGTGTGAAATAGAGCCGCTTGCACAGTGTGTTACTCACAGGCGTTTGTGGGTCTAAGCGCAAGAAAGGCCAGGATACCCCAAAAGGAGCTGGGTATGTGTGGATTCTCTAACCGGCGGCAGCTGCGGGCACACCACGCCTGCACTGCATGGAGGGTGCTCATGGCATTGCAGCATCCTTCAGCCAGGGCTGGATAGATCTGGCATGGCCCGATGAAGGCGGCTTTTACCCCTTGTCCACCATCAGCCAACTGAGGAACCCTGTTCACATTGCAAACACCCAGCAAATGCAGCCCCGACCCCTGGTACCCCCTGCCCAAGCTCCAGAGGGGAAAGACAGCCCTGTTCCCTGGCATTACAGGCACCCAAGTATTTGCACAGGATGCACCCAGCCCGGTCAGTGACAGGCACCTGTGCAGGATCAGGCCCCCAGGAGAGCCCACTGACCGCGAAGGCCCAGGGACCACAAGGCAGGGGCTTACCCAGCAGAGCCTGGAAGAGTTCACTTTGAAAGATGTGCGAGACTTTTCCAATGGAGTCTTTTAGCTCCTGCTCCTCCGGGGACTGCAGGGTGCTTTGGTATCTGGTCAGAATTTCCACTGCTCGTTCAGTGTCTGCAGAGATGAGACAGGAGTAACAAGGCATTAACACTGAAGGATGGACAAACATCATCAGGGAAGGGTTGAGTGCAGCCTTGGAGCAGTGCAAAGGGCTCATCCGGATAATGCCTCAAGTTGCCTTCCGGCTCTGGATTTTTAAGACTCAGCCAGCCACAAAAGCAGCCTCCTTACACATACCTGGAAGAGCTAACCCTGCCGCGAGGTGCAGAGGGGCCATAGCGGAGAGCCAGGCAGGGGCTGGAGGGGAGGTGGTTCTGCATGCTGGCTCTCCTTGACCCTTAAAATCAGGGGCTAAACCCAGGTTGACTCACCTCCAAACCCTGTGGCACTGGGCAGCCTGAGCACCTCTGCCATCTCCCAGGCAGAGAAGCCTGTTCCATGTTTGGAACATGTCCTGGTTGCACAGGGCTGAGTCCCACTGCAGTAGCTGTGGTCTCCCACGTGGGGCCAGATGGCTGCAGCAAAGATGAGCGTAGCCCCACTCACATAGCGCAAGGTATTACAAACAGCTCAACTGCACGAGTGGCAAAACTTGGGTTTCTACAGGCTGAAGTGTAAGGATTGCTCCACACAGCATGCAGCCTTGGGTCAGCAGGAGACAGCGCGAAAGGAACAGGATGCTTTGGGGTCAGGGAAGGAGGGATGCTGGTCAGGAGGGGAGCTGGACACTGCCACGAAGCAACGCTTTAGTTAAAGACTGTGAGACAGCCTTGGACCTAGAATAGCAGAGTTGTGATCTCTGTGTGCCAGGACACCTCCATGCTTCTCCGGGCAGATGCCCAGAGCTGCCAGTCCAGCTCCAGCCCCAGATGTGACCCATCTCTCAGGTGCGTGGGGAAGCTCCCATGGACCTTGGGCCCGTCCCAGCCCTACCAGTGAATATTTCCCTTTGTCACCCAGGCAGCCTGCAGACAAAGGGCGTCTGTGTGAGGAGGCGGTGGAGCCGTTCCACCGCTGTTAGGGACTCATCTTTTAACCCAGGAACTCATGTAGAAAGGATGACCCTGCTCATCCCAGGGCTCTCGGCAGGGAATTCAGGTCACCGAACAAGGGGGTTTGTGTCTGCTAGGGCATGTGGCACCTGCTGTCCCAGCTCGCCCAGCTGGCTCCCATTCCCACTCCTCAGCTGGGGATCCTGCCTGTGTCACCAGCCCACATTGACTCTTTGTGGGAGCAGAACAGAAAAAGGAGCCTGGGGAAGCGTGAATAGCTCCTGCTCAGGGCTGGGCTCCACAGTGGCTCCTGGAAAAGCAGGGACTTCCCCAAACTCCAGATTTTTCTGGGCTTTATAGGCATCCCAGCCCTGTGTTATCACTAAAGACTTCCTTTTCTGCAAGATCAGACAGTGGCTTCAGACACTACCCAGCATCCCACAAGCGGGGTTGAGTCATCTTCGCCTGGTCATTCCTGACCTTATCAGCAGAAGCTAAAGAAGCAGGTGGAGAACCCGGGGCCACCACACCAGGACACAGACTGAGAACCTGGTGCGAACATTCCCACCCCAGTCCAGGCTGCACAGAAAGAGCAGCATGCACCCTTTGCTGACCCCTGTGCTGCTGGCCACCAGCACCAGGTGACAGCCAACTGGAGCAGGGGAGCGCTGGCCCTGGAGCACCAAACCCAGGGAAGCGCTGTGCCCCCAGCACAGGAGAGAGACCTCAGCACCCTTCCTGCAGCACCCACGAAAGAGCACGTGATGCCAGGGGCCCATCCCAACACATCTCAGGGTGCAAGTGCCACTTACAGGAGGTCCTTCCTCGCAGGGCTCACACCCCCGCACCTGCCCTCCCCACAGCACCCAAGGGTGCCGTAAGCACGGCATCCCACGGCCACCCGCT